CATAGTCATGTGGACCCAGAACCATTACTTGTAGACCAAATAAATGCTTGTCCCTTGGGGCTTGGCGGGGCAGTGCTCCGGGGCCCCCAAGTTCAAGGGGGCAACATCGTTCATCCTCCATGAACGATGTTCGAAAAAGATATAGGTACATATAATACTTACGAAGTAAATAAAAAAAAACGACTTTTAACTTTTTTCGGCCCTTACCAACAAACCTCGAACGGATCGAACTAAAATCACAAAAATTTCTTCCATCTCCAGGACATAAACATCATTGTTAAAATATCGTCTGCTTCATTTCTTTAAACTGTGGTTTTATTGTTTTAGTACTTATATATCAACTGTAACCTACTTCGTAATTATTTATTTTTACCAGCTTCCGCCCGCGACTTCGTTCGCCTGGTATGGACCAACGTTAAAAATATCCCATGAGGTCATTTTATCGAGATGAAACGGTGATGACGGGATGAAACGGTGTGCTAAATTTCATCCAAATCCATACAGTAGTATTTACGTTAAAGCATAACAAACAAACAAACTTTAATCTATACAAATAAATAAAATTGAAGTGTCTGTTTGTAATGTCAAAATTACAGCTTTTTACTCATTGCATATGAAAGTATATACGGTACTTATAACAAAAACACAATTTTTAAAAAATTTGTCTGTCTGTCTGTTTGTTCCGGCTAATCTCCGAAACGGCTGGACCCAATTTGACGGGACTTTCACTGGCAGGTAGCTGATTTCATAAGGAGTAACTTAGCCTAAGTTTCTTAGCCTTTCTTTTATTTTAGAAAAAGAATTAGGGTTCCGCGCAAAACGTAAAAACTCTAACACGCGAGCGAAGTCGCGGGGAACAGCTAGTATTTATAATATTACTAGCAACCCGCCCCGATTTCAGACGGGTTCAATTTATGTACATGTGGTGTTTTGTTATCCCCTTTTATACTTAGGATATATAGATTAGGAAGTACGATTAAATATTATCTGCTGCGTTATACATAGTAGTTTTGCTTTATTATGCCCTGCATTGAGCGATAAAGAGCTGATAATGAAGTAGTTTTGCACCTTTAAAGTATTTAGTTTAGTTCAAATAGGGCCCCAATTTCATTTTTGCCCCGGGTTCCTTGGTTGCATAGCTACGCCACTGCTTGTTCCGTGCGGAAATCGACATCGCGACAGGCATCGCTACAGCCGAGCACTTAGCCATTAACATATGAGTAAATACCCCTATAATGCTAATAATTACGCTACCGAGACGATTCTCTACCAGTACTCTACTTATCGTGCTAGAAATCAAGTAGGCAGAGATCCACAATATGATTGAATGAGAAATGTTGAAAATCTATTCAAATAAATAAAATTGAAGTGTCTGTTTGTAATGTCAAAATTACAGTTTTTTACTAAATGCATATGAAAGCAAATATGGTACATATAACTAAAACACAATTTTTAAAATTTTTGTCTGTCTGTCTGTTCGACTGTTTGTGTCGGCTAATCTCCGAAACGGCTGGACCGATTTTGACGGGACTTTCACTGGCAGGTAGCTGATTTCATAAGGAGTAACTTAGGCTACTTTTATTTTAGAAAAAGAATTAGGGTTCTGCGCAAAAACATAAAAACCCTAAGACGCGAGCGAAGTCGCGGGGAACAGTCAGTTAAAATATAAAATACATAGGCTGCTACATAATAGCGTCCTCCAAACCGAATATGGTCTCGTCAGTATCAACGTCGATTAGCCATTTGCGCAGGAATTAATTATAGTACCTACACGAGTGGGTGCGTAAGCACAGGTCACTCTCTATTTCCCTCACTCACCCAATATCATATGCCAACGCGTCAAGCAGCCTTCTTTATTTGAGATTGGTTGCAGGTGTTTATTTGATAAAGTACTCACCCTATAAAAATTAAAAATACCTGCAACCAATCTGTATCTGTGTACAAAATGTCTGTCTGTTATTCTGTCTGTACATTCTCATTGGTTTTGCATTAAAAACATTCTGATAAAACGTATCGGTATAACTAATATAAATTGGTTGTTCCAGTGGACTCGGTCGCACTTTTGCTGAAGTTGGGGAAGAAGCAGGTTCGTCTGGAAGACTTGCGAATGCATTTGATGATGGAAGTGAACCAATTTATACCGATCCCTCGCTTTTCGAGCGCTCGCGTTCGCTGCGCTCTCTACATTCGCTCGATATGAAGCCCGAACGACGCGATCATCATGCATAAACTAAATGCTTACAAATAACTCCATCTTAAAATTCTTATCTTTGTCATATTTCAGCGTCTTCTTTTTAAATATTACTTACTGCCATAATATGCTCACTTTCTAATCCGTCCTTTGAGTTTTTTATTATACTTTACATTCTTTTACTTATGAAAGATTTACTATTAAGTCATTACTAATAATAAAGAATGGATGTACAATGTTGTTTTTTTTATAAACCTCCAATGCAGTGTTTACCTCATACCTCATTTCGTCTAGTGTGTGTCTTAAATCGTATATGGAAGTAATCAAAAATAAAAATACCTCAAACAAAAACACCTTGAGGTCTCCGATAGATGGCAATTTACAGTTTAAAAAGTTTAAAGTTAGTCTTTATACGTCCTACTGCAGGGCTAGCATGAACATGAGACAATTTTATCCCCGGGGAAAGGAGAAAATATTTATCCCCTCGCTTCGTTTTATACAACCTTCGAGCAAGGGCACACCGGTGGATATAATATCCACAGTAGATAAAATGGGAGATAGACTTAGACTTATATAGATTTTTTTGAATGAATATAAACTTAAACCCATGTCCAATGAACTAGGATAGAATTGTCCCTTTCAAATGTCAAAAAAGCATAATTTTTTATCTATCATTTGGCTCCATGCTACGGACGGGGGATATATGTCTACTCGTTATGTCAAACGGGGATATACTTCTCCATGCCGTGCTTTGGCATAGGGACAAATTAATTTTATCTCTTGTCAGTGGATATAATCGGGGGATAAAACTTTTGTCCCCAGAACATGCTAGCCGTGCTGATGGTAAGTGGATGCTGTGGCCCATAGACATCCACATTTATTATCGATTAAGAATCAAAATACAAATGCTTTGTCACCCTTGCGGACTAAGATGGAATGCCTCCTTTCGAGTAAAAAGGGTCTCCGGTTCTCTAAACCATACGAAGCACAGCAGCATTAAGCTGTTATTTTACGATGGTATAAGGTGATAGGGTGGTCCTACCCCGTTCGAGCCGACCCATTCATGCTACAACCATAATATTGCTGCAGCGTGGCTCTACGACGGAAAAAAAAACCATGAAACATCATGGGATTTTAGTTGGTGCAAGCCCGACATAACCCGTCATTGCCCCCGCGAGGCGAATAAAGGTACTGGGAAACAATTCAATTGTAGCGCGACTATACCATTTAAAATGAACATAATACCAAATATTTATTTATTTATTAATACCTCATTGTAAAACACCTTATTTAAAAGATTTATAAAAGGCGGACAGCTTTAATATGCATTTCCCTTGCATTTAAACTGTAAACAGAAGTTGCAAACACTTTCTGGAATTTTTTTATAACTCTGCGATGTTCTTCTACTTTTTGCTTTTCGCACATTGACAGAGCCACGGGAACATTCATGCAATCGTCGGGACGCGAAACCCCCGTCACGACAAGGTATGAATTCAGAGTAGGAACTCTATTTATATTGGATCGATGTTATTTTCAAATGCAATATGACAATCATGGAAATATAATTATACTGACTATAATTATACTAAAATTATGTACACATATTATCTGCGAGTAGTGGCAATGTAGTTCGTCACGCATCCTTAGCTTAGCTTAGGTGTAACATAATAAAAACTTGTGGCTCAATAAATATCCCAGGCAAGACGCAAGACGTCTTGCACTATTCTCGCCGATCTGCCTACCATGCGTGGCGATCACAGATCACGTCCTCTATTTGAGCACAGGTTGATTCCAGCAAGGTATTGAATCCACTTGTGTTATAATTCATATTATACTTATACAAATAGGTAAGTATATTAAAGATGAGCCAAATCAAGGGTACCCTTAAACGTCGGGCATGTGTTGATAAATGGATAGAAATAAATAGGTTCAAGAAGCGAGAAGAATGGCATGATCGTGCAAAATAGAAGCCATAGAATATAATGAAGCTAATATATATGAAGCATTTACTGATATTACATATATACATTATTTTTATTTTATAGTTTGCGATTCGCGTCGCTAATAAGGAACGCATGATAAATCTCGTACTTATATTAATTAATTTTAGCGCCTTTTATATTTGAAAAGCAATCAAAACACAAAAAGTAAATGTGCTCTTAATTTTATTTTATGCCTTTGTTCTTTATTTCTTCTGCCTGTGTAACTTGTTAAATCTACATATAAATCGACATTTTAGGGAGAAGAATTAACTATTTACTTTTAAACTAATAACTAAAAATTAAATATCTAAATACCTGAAATTCTAAATTTGATATTTTATGGATAAATAATATATAGAAACAAGAAATTAGATTAATCAAACTTACTTAAGTCTACATAAGATCACAGAAATGTATAGAGTAATAGATTTCTCCATGTCAGGGCAGGGTAGGCATCATAATCATTAAGCATAATATACATATCTACAGTATCAACACAATTAATATACATATCAAAGTATGGAAAAACCAGTTTCATTCAAAATGGAAAATAAAATACATATGTAGAGGAATTAATTATAATAAAAAAATTACTTGCAACATTTATTACATTAACATAAGCCTTCTTTTTAACAGCCTGTAATAGTCCACAGATGAACAAAAATGGACCTTCTGTAGGAACCATTTGCCGTAATCATCACACTTGGTAGGTATATTGACAAGCTTAGAAGCAGATGTATTGCACCTTCGCACTACACCTAGTCAACGGTCTGGGTCCTTTCCAGTCTCAAAAGATCCAACTGCGGTGCTAAATAGAAATAATACATTCACATGTGATATGGTGCAGGTGTCGGTACACTCATTAAAGGGGAGTCCAAATATTCCATTTCACTTGTGCTAGCAACTGGTTCAGTTTGAGCATTTAATTTTTGTTGTAAAGCTTCATGTAATTTATGAACAGATTCATTGTGTTGAGTGCCTGGCTGTAAAGCTTTCATTAAAGTTTGAATTCTAGTTTCAGGAAGTTTGGGATGTATATACCATAGTAATTTTAGTATGTGTCTTATAACATTATCCTTTGTTAGTCCAGCAAAAAAGAACTCATCAAACAAAACCGTGCTAAAGTCTTCGCCTTGGAATTCATCTGGTAGTTGTATTAATAGTGCAACAAGTGCGTGCAAAAATGGATCTTCATAGGCACGACCATCTTTACAACTTCCTAGTATACTAAGTATTCGGAGGAGAGCTCCACGATCGCGTAGTTTTGCTGCATGCAGTGTATAGTACATAGCTAAAACACCACACACTGAACTTTCTCTCATGTAAGCCTCACAAGCATCTGGTGGGGGACCTGAATGCTCTATAGTAGTAATAGCAGACTCTCTCTCATCTGGTGGTAACTTATTGTGTAATGCACGTACTTGATCATCAACCATTAGAGACATTAGAGCAGGTAGGTATTTAGTTACTACTTGACTATCAAGCTTTGGTTCCTTAAACTCTTGCGAGTCTATCATTACCCATGCGCTCAAACCTAATGCCAACATTCTAAGCAAAAGGATCAATATTGTATTATCTCTAGGCAGACCTTCAATATTTATTAGATGTTGTAGTATTTTAATAGCTGATGTTGCTAAAAAGTTAATTGCATAAGGATCACAAAGAGTCATAGATAAGTCTCCAAGAACTTGCTCTTGACCCCTCTTAATACTGTCTAAAAATCCTTGAAGTTCACGAGATCTTTTGATATCAACATTTCTCTCTCTGATACAAGCATCTAAACACCAGGTGAATTTATGACAGGGATCAACAGATATAATATCTTGTATTTCCAGATCATGAAGTGCCATTAAAAGTTCAGCCCGTAATGTGCAATAGTGAACATTTCTTGTTCTCAGAAACAATGTGCGTAGAAACTGTAAGACCATATCATATAACTTAACACTATTGCCTATCATATGAGCTAACTTTTGAACAACAGCACCCTGCCGCCTTACTTTAGGCGATGGGGAAAAGAATAGATTAGATAGATTCTCATGATCAAATAACACATTTTCCTTTTCTCTGATGTATTGACTGAGTAACGGAGAAACCTCATCTCCAAATAGGGATTGATTGTCTTGCCAAATCTGACGTTTTACCTCTGTGTCAGTGTCATTATATAATTCACGGTCCCTTACCAAAACACGAAGAAATTTATCATCAATAAGTGGAGTGTTTTTAAGGATACTCATTATTACAGGCCTTAAAGCTTTTACTCTAACAACCGCAAAGCTTTTTGCTAAGAGATCTTTTAATTTCTTGTCATTCTCTTTACCTTCTTTGGAGCCAAGTTCATTTATGTGTGCAATAAGTTTATCTCTCAATTCTTCCAATACTGATGTATGAAAATCAAGACGACGAACACCATGTAGATCAAGCAAAGGTAGCATTGGCCTTAACGACGGTAAAAGAATGCCATTTTCCAGTTGAAACTCTTCAATAGCTTTTAAAGGGTCCGTACAACTAGTTAAAGCATCGCGGAGAAAAGTCTGACCTGGAACACCCACCTCTTCTAAACCTGTCCCAGGTAATCTACTTGAAGACGCCATGATTTCAATATTCTAAATTATAAACTATTACGATCTTTGCATTGTTTTAAAAACAACTTATTTTAAACTGGATGGATATTCCTCTATGTATGTATTGTTGTATTGTATTTCACACAAACTAGGTATATAGAAAGTTAGAAATTTCCAATGTATTACTTTTCTCTATGGTTAGAAAGTATCACAGAATACTTTACTCCAAAAAAGTACTCTGTGACTTTACTCCTAGTGGAAAGTATTCATACTTCATAGATAAGGCCGGCTACACACTAGGGATGTTCGAAGATCATCGATGTTAAAAATGAAAACATCGATATTTGTTAAACATCGAAACATCGATGTCAATGAACCCATAATCGATTATTGGGAACTTGCAAACGCGCGAAATAAATATCAACTAAATCTTACATCCTCTCTGAAGATTTTTAATTTTGAATAATTCAGAATTCCTGAACGCATCGCTATCCTAAAAAATTATCATTATGGTGTGTCAAACTTAATTGTCTAGTGTCACCTGTAATGTCACAGTGATCACTGCTTTCGCTTTATTTTGTAGTGTCATTGTCTTTTATCGCTGTTATTTTTTTGCTGTCGCATAATAACTATTCTACGTAAATTGATAACTAAGTAAGCAGCGCAAATATGAATCTCTGAGTGATGACTACATATTTGTGCCATTTGCTATAAAGACTATCGGTCCGTGGGGTCCACGTGCGGTGAAGTTTCTAAAGGAACTCCATATGTGGCTGGTCGTTGCTGCTGTTGATAAGAGGGCTGGTTCTTTTCTCGCTCAAAGGCTAAGTATAGCCATTCAGCGGGGAAACCCAGCCAGCGTTCTTGGCACGATACCGCGGGGAGTAGGACTGTGTGATAATTAAGCTACTAGTATTAGTTTTTTTTTATTATAGCTTTAAATATTGTATATATTAAAATATTGTATATTATGTTATTGATATTCAAGTTAATTGTTACTTTTTCCCTTGCTGTGTATACTCACATAATTTTGAAACAATATGAGTATGACACAAAAAACATCGATAATGGTTAACATCGATGTTTTGAGTAGGCCAAATATCGAACATCGATGTTGACCTGTCGATGCCAACATCGATGTCATCATCGATGTTTCTGCAACATCGATCATCCCTACTCCACACGTTGGTCCCAACGCTCGTACCAACGTTGGACTGCAAATTCGGTGAGGCGTACACACGTTGGCTAATAAACTAGTTCTGTCCCGTCAGTGCCAACGTGAAGATGTCCGATACAGAAATCGAAACTGCTCTGAGCGCTTTTATAGTACTGAGTGCACATTTATATTTATTACTGAGAAAAAATAAAAAGCCACATCAAAGAAGATGGTGGATGACGACACATCATAAAACACGAAATCAGTGAGTAAAGATCTAGTTATACACTCCATTTTAAATATTCTAATAACATCAACAACAAACTATAATTATATCAGCAGTTGTTTACTGTAATATTAAAGTATCTATTCTATATTTACATTTTCTTTCTTTTTTAGGTATGATGAAACCCGATTATTGAGTAATTTGATTCAAGAGCCATCAGGACAGTTTGATAACTTTGTCGTATGTCTTCGATAGATTTCGAATACCTTCTACAGTTGATTGGACCAAGAATAAAAAAGCAAGATACAGTATTCAGAGACTGAATACCAACCAAAGTACGCCTTGCTGTGACACTTAGATTTTTAGCGACTAGAGATTCATTCAAAAGTCTTCATTACCTATTTAAGATTTCTTCTCATGTCATATCATTGATCGTGCCGGAAGTATGTAAAGCACTATGTGAGGCATTGCGTTCTTTTGTAAAAGTAAGTAATTTTTGTATATTTTGTAAAATAAAACCATAATAATAATAATCAAAACAGGTTTATTAATAAAAAGAATTAGACAAAGTAATCGAGTCCTTGCATTACCATTCAATTCTTATTTTGTATCTGAAAAAGAGTAAATGCCTGAGAGATAATGTCATTTGATATAATTGTCACCTTTGGAGTAGATGTGAAGGAGGTGGATGAACCTGTCACATATTCTGCTTGGCTATGATTTGGTGATACAACTGTATAATCACTATAATCATCAGCAACATGATATGACGGGCTTGGCATCACTTGAGGTGTAGGTGCATAACGCACGGAATCTCGGGTAGACATATCGTAACATTTGTGATGAAGGGGACGGTGTAGGTGTAAAACGCATGGAATCCGGGGTAGATCTTACGTACGAGTAAGTGCTGCTACGAGCAGGGCTATTAATATTTAAGTAAGACTCATTTCGTTTCTGATAAATAAGTTCATCTATATAGTGCATTATAACCTCCCTTTGTTGCTCATTAAATTTTTAAATTTTTTTGGCCAGTAGTTGACAGTATAAGTCTACCTCGTCTACTTCAGTTCATGGTCGGTCGGAGAGATTTTTTTGGACAGCTGTCTTAATCTGAGCTCGTACTTCCGTGACTTCTGATTCTCGCCGTTTTTTCGCTGACGTGGAACTTCTATTTTGAATGCTGTCTTCGTCAGAAAAGCTTCTATCTTGATTGCTGTCTTCATTAGAAAACTCCATAGTCTAAAAATTCAAACAAAACAAGTAAATTTCAACCCTTATTTAAATTATTACCTATTACCTACACTGATATATTTTTTTCTGTTTTAGATGCCTCAAAATGCTCGAGAATTTGAATTAAAATGGCGATTTCCACATTGTTTGGGCGCTATCGATGGGAAACACATTAAAATACAGTCACCCATTAATAGTGGATCAGAGTTCTATAACTATAAACACAATTTCAGTATAATATTACTACCGGTAGCTGATAGTGAGTACAACTTTTTATTAGCTGACGTAGGAACACATGGACGTATGAGTGACGGTGGAGTTTTTAATGATAACATGCTTTATAACAAAATATATGGACCTGATTCCCTTTTTCCGCATGACGCTCCTTTACCTGATCAACATCTTCCTGTGCCCTATGTTTTTGTGGCAGATGGATCTTTTGCATTATCTAAAAGGATTATGAAACCTTTTCCTGGTACACCGCCAGTTGGCTCACAAAATAGAAAATTTAATAGTCGACTATCAAGGGCTCGTGTTGTGATTAAATGTGCATTTGGAATATGACATCGGTATTTGGAGTGTTAAAAACCAATATGTTACTACAACCCGAAAAAGCATCTATTATAACACTCACTTGCGTTATACTTCATAATTTTTTGAAAAAGACTCAGCACTCCTACCTTATGTATATGCCGGAAGGTAATATAGATAATGTAAGAACAACAGAAAATGTTAGAGAAATACGAAATGAATATGCATCATACTTTTATTCACACTAAATAAAAAATCTACCGATTTACAAAATTATTATGTAGATTTAGGTAATCACAGCCACAGGTCAGATATGTATATATGGTCAGGTATGTATGTAACAGTTGCACTACGAAAACATCTTTTAATACGTAGGGCATAAGGGCGCGCTCAAGGTCAACATGTTACGTTTAGCCTGTGGTTCAGTGTACCTACCTACCCAGGTGATTTTTTCATAATGAAATAAACAACTAAGTGCTTTAGATTAAGTATGTAACTTGTCACAGTTAGTGATGTTATCTATGTAAATAAATAAAGTAAAAATTAATGAATGTTTATCTTACCTCTGTGTGAATAGTAATTGTATCTGATTTATCATAATTCGGAGCAAGAAAGCTATCCATGAGCTCCTAAGCGAACCAATTTGGTTTAAAAATATCATCTGTTGATGATCCAGATCGAGTAGAGTCACTAATTTTTTTTCTGTAAAGGCGATATGTGCTCATTAATGATTCTCGCTTTTTTTTAAATCTTCAATTGAGAAATTCATTCCCATATTCTGTTGAATGGTGCGCCATGCATCAGCTAATAAATTTTTATTTTTATGATCTTTTCGAGTTGCGTCCCATATTATTGGATGTGCTTGATAAAGTTCAATAAATACTATGATTTTTTCATTTGTCCATGCCGGTAGCTATTTTGTGGCTGAGGAAGCCACTGCTGCACTCGCTGCGTGTTGCAACAGAACTGAGCAAAGTGCCAACGTGTTAACAGATCGCGAGCGTTGGCGCAGATTCCTTTGATGAAACCGACACGAGCCGGCCAACTACCAACGCTCGCCCCAACGTTGGGACCAATGCCATTTTCTAGATTCACACGTTGGATGAGTAGCGTTGGGGCCTATATTGGGGCCAAAGAGTATAGTAATTGTCCTATACAGGAACTCCTGATTGGGGCCAACGTGTGGAGCCGGCGTAAAAAGTATTCCATTACAAACCTTATTTTTTTAATAACTGGCTTTACAGCTCTGGGTTCTAGCCCTTCTGAGCCAGAAGTCGCAATGTATAATTATCCTTCACGTAATATAAAAAACAAGAGGAAGTAGCAAAACGCATATTTTGTAGTGAAACCACTGTTGTCAAACTCACACATACACAAGAAAGAAATGTGTACCATTTCAATAATTTTAGCGTGATTGGTTATTTAAAATAAAAGAGAAAGTCATTATGTTACTTACCATTCATTTGAGTACGAACAATAAGTCCTTAAAAGTAGAGATCATATTCCTTTTCATCAACAAAGTTTCTATAATTAATGAGCAAACTTAACTTCTTAACGTTAGATATCGCAATAATAACTTCACGCTATTAGAGACATAATTAAAATAGACATAACGTTGACATTGCCCTACTCATGCAATAACTAACGTGTACTGCTACGTGAATGATGTTAGTGATATAGTTACTCTGCCTGAACATGATCTGGCTTATATCAATATTCAATATATGATTATTATCATGCATATGAATTGACTGAAGAAACTAAATTGTAAAAAAAAAAACAATATATGATAAAATTAGTAAAATAGCAAAATTTAATGAAAATTGCCAGGATGTATCACGTATATCCCTGTAATTCATATAGCTGGCATATAATTAATTGTATTTAATGGAAATTTATTTACAATAAGCTAAATTATCATTTTTGAAATGGAAACAAAGAGAATAAGAAAATAAAAAATTTAGCAATTGTTTATTGTTATTGAAATAACACATATTTGTTTAAAAATTATCGTGTTCACACTTTAATATAAAATTTTAGATGATAATGAATTCGGAGTGTAGATTATGATATTAAGATCACTTTTATTTCAGCTTTTTTCCAAAAGTCATGAGTACCGCTAAACTACTCTCTTATTTCTTTGGATTAGCAACCCTAATAATTCATTCGTAGGCTTTCACCCTAAAACTTCGTATATTTTCAAAGACATCCAGCATTTGCAAATTTTCATTAATATGTTAGTGAATGAACACGACTGTGTACACAATAACATTTTATCGAATACTTTAATGTCGGCGTAGTTACAACACTATTGCAGCTATTTTTATTCAAAATGTATTTACAGATGAACCTTACATTAACGAAATAAGGTTGAATATTACTTGTAATAAAGACAATAATAAAAAAAATATGCCCATGTTTAGTTAAGTTTCTATCCAAAAAATTAAAAAATTACACGTGCCTTTGGTACGAAACACCTCTATTCGAAATATTTTTATTTTTTACTTTCGTTTTTACACTCCTAAATTGCACAAAACAGCATATTTTCGCATATATCACTTAAGCAGCGACCCGTCAGCTCGCAACAATTTGAGTCTGCGACTGACGGTCTATTACGCTCTACTGTCACTAATTGTGATACGCCTGGCCCGCCCCCTTTGGGCTTCCTCTTGTTTTTTATATTCCGTGTTATCCTTCATATTTAGTGATCGGAATAGATAGTGTAATTTTGTGGGATTTCATGATGTTATCCTAATATAGATAAGTCTTTAAATCACACTTAATTGGAATTTAATATGGTCAATTTAATTCTAAAAAATTTAAAGTACTAAATTATAATCTTTGTGTTATAGCATGGTGCGGGTGACAGCTTATACTTTTGGCCTGTCTAAAGATGGAACATAGTTAAATCTATTTTAAAAAAAGCGATTAAGGATACACAAAGCAAAGCAAAAATTATCGATTAGCTATCGATATAAAAATTAAAACCAAAAAATATATTTGTTTATAAACTAGAATGCATGTAAAATTAAGTTAAAGTTTAATACAAATTATGAAATTATTGTTACATAATAGCTGTTCCCAGACCTCGCCTGCTTAGCATTTTTTATGATTGGATTTTTTGGATTTTAATTTTTTTGCTCGGAACCCTATTTTTTTCTAAAATAAAATTATCCTATTTTTTTTATAGGAGAGGGAGCAAACGAGCATACGACTCACCTGATGGTAAGTGACTAACGCCGCCCATGAACAAACGCAACACCAGGGGAACCAGGGGAATTGCAGATGCTTTGCTGGCCTTTTAAAAAGGAGTAGGCTCTTTTCTTGAAGGTCCCTAAGTCGTATCGGTCCGGAAAAATCGCTGATGGTAATCGATTCTAAAAGGAAGTTGTGCGAGGAAGAAAACATCTTCTAAATCGCATAGTGGTGGACCGCCAATCATCCAGATGGATAGTATCCGGAGTTCGGCCCGGATCACGCGTTCGTGTAATTTGGCGGCTGGGATTAGTTCGAACAATTCCTCAGAGCACTCCCCGTGGTAAATGCGAAAGAAAATGCAAAGGGATGCAACATCTCTTCGCAGTGCCAATGAATTGAGCCGATCGGTAAGAACTCGGTCGTCGACGATTCGAGCCGCTATGTGCTGGATGCGGTCAAGTGGAAGAAGCTGGCACTGGGGAGCCCCTGCCCAGAGATGGGAACAGTATTCCATGTGAGGCCGAACCTACGCCTTGTAAAGTTGCAGGCGGTGTGCCGGCATGAAATACTGTCCCACCCTGCTGAGCACGCCAAGCTTTTTAGAGGCCAATTTGGCCTTCTCTTCCAAGTGACCACGAAACTGCACGTCACTCAATATGTCGACGCCGAGGATTCCGATACTGGCTGAGGCAACAAGGGGAGTGCCTTGAAACTGAGGAGATACGACAAAGGGTTCTTTTTAGCGGTAAACGCGCAAACGCGCAAACAAAACATTATAATAAGAATTTGTGATTATAAAAATATTTATACTATGTCAGGTCATGTACCTATGTATCAAATTCGAATATTTTGTGTTTGTACAGCGATCTTTTTCAGCTGCTGTAGGCGAAACAGCGACCACCTGCGATAGCGGCCGAGCGCCGACTGTGGTTTCATCGAAATTTTTGTACAACAAATCAAAACAGGCACTAAAAATAAAATAACCCTTATTGTCATCCGTATCAGCAAAATATGTCAAAAAATAGGCATCAGTGTTTATTTTTTTTCCGACCATTTGTGACATTTTGATAAAAAGTAATCACCAGCATTTTTTATTGAATATGTCTGCCTACTTACAGTATTTTTAGAAATCTTAATATATGTTGATAATAGAAAAAAAATGTACCGAAACATGAGCCGGTATCGTTAATCTTGTAGAAAATGGCTAAGGAAGATCCTTTTTACAATGTAAAAAACTATTATTTTCAACAAAAAAATTACCACTATTTGAAGATAAAGAAACATTCTATACGTTGCAGTTATTAGTTATATTTGATTTGGTTTAGTTTTGTCACAAAATGTACCGAAAAACAGCATAATTTGGCCCGATTCGCAAACGCACCCTTAAGTGTCTGCGCATGTGAATTATTTGTGAAAACGGCGAAACAAGTGCTCTGATTCTCAAGATAAGGTGTCTGTCTGCTTAGGAGCCATGAGATATTATCATCGCCAACTGTCAGCTATCTGCTGGCTCAAGTTGCCATCAAAATCTCTCAAGGGCTGCACAATGTGATGACATCAACATATTGTGAAGCAGTGTAATATGAAGGATAATTATTATTATACCTATTACTTACTGGCTGATACTTCAGGCTCAGAAGGACTAGAACCCAGAGCTGTAAACCAAGTTATAAAAAAAAAAAGAATAAAAAATAAGAAATTCTTGTTGTGATACATTGTATTTCAAGACCCAATTATATATTTTAAGAATAATTAACAACGTTAAGGATGTCTGACAAACAGAAAACGTAAGCTTAATTTACTTGTCTTTTAATTAGAATTATTATACAAGCAATTTCTCTTTCAGTATAGACTAGTTTTTTTTATCAAATATTGACTACAAGTAATTCATTTAAAAGTATTTTTTTACTTTTACCACTGGTTCGGAAAAAATCTCTGTCCTAGGAAGAACTAGCAAAAAAGCCACGGGTATTTTTTTCAAAGTAGAATTATACAATATAAACAGGTTATACAAACTACTTACAAAACTTAAATTGAGAATCTGGAAGATCATTACCACTGGGTATGTGGGTTATTATCAACCACGTATTCATTACTATTGCTACTCCGATGACATCCCGGACGTCAGTTTGAGCGAGATTAGAATGGCTTTTCACAACCTTAAGAACGGCAAACAATGGTGAGGATGGAATTACAACAGAGCTTTTGAAAGCACCCGCTTTCAAAAGCTCTGTTGTCAGTCTGTTACAGCGGAGCTTCTGAAAGCGGGTGGAAACCGGTACTTGATGTTCTTCAGAAGCTCTTTAATTCAGTCCTCCATGGTGGGACGGCTCCGAAGGCGTGGAGCAGAAGTGCGGTGGTCTTGTTCTTCAAGAAAGGCAACAATGCTCCCTTGAAGAATTACAGACCAATTTTTTCTCTGTGATGTGTCTACGTGCTGTTTTCGAGAGTCATTACGAATCGTCTCACACACAAACTCGACGACTTCCAGCCACCTAAACAAGCCGGTTTCCGAAAAGGCTTTAGCACCATAGACCACATACATACATAGAGCTCAATCTGCCATTTTGCCTTGCAAATATGGTTTAAGAGAAAGTCTTTGATTCCATCGAAATTTATACGATTCCTTCTATGGTGCCACTCACCTTCAGTTTGTTGACAAGTATGTTTACCTGGGACAAATAGTCCGACTAGGTAAGTCCACCTTCGACCGAGAGGTCAATTGACGGATTCAACTCGATTGGGCAGCATTCTGGAAATTACGACACATCTTTTTGTCAGGTATACCTCAAAACTTGAAAATGGAATTGTACAACCAGTGTGTGTTGTCAGTGATAACTTATGGATCTGAGGCATGATCCTTAACTGCTGGCCGTATGAGGAACCTCAAGGTCACTATGAGAGCTACGGAGAGGGCTTATGCCCTGGGTTTCTTTGAGTGATAAATTTTTAAATGAGGATATCCACAGTAGAACCAGAGTGAACGACATAGCCCAACAGATTAGTAATCTGAAGTGGCAATGGCCCATAAAGTTCAAAGAACCGACAACTGATGGGGAAGAAACATTCTCGAGTGGCAGCCTCGTACTGGTAGGGGAAGTGTAGGGCGACACCCACTAGATAGAGTGATGACTTGGTAAGACATGCAGGAGGTGGATGGATGCAGGTGGCTCAGGACTGTGCTTTGTAGCATTCCTTGGGGGGACATATGTTCAGCAGCGGACCTGTGAAGGGCTGGAATGATGATGATAATGATGTATTTATTTATACTATTATAAGCTTTTTATACAGTGTTTGATCAACCACAATAAAATCAACTTCGAAATAGATACCCAAATTTTCTGGGACTGTGTTTTAAAAGTGTATACTATGAATGACTACTAACTATTATGAATGTAATCTATGAATTGCTAACTCTGTAGAGTAGAGTAATTGGTTCCATAGCTTTTTATTTAAAATTTACTGTTTATTTGACACAGATTTGTTTTTCAGAGAGTAGCCAAATTTTCTAGCTGTATCTCATGATCCGTAATAGGTAGACAGTTGAAATTTTCACAGAATGTGTATTCCTGATGCCGGTATAACAACAAATAATAAAAAATGAAATAAATTAAAAGGGGCTCCCCTACTACAAACGTGTATTATGATAGTACGGAACCCTTCATGCGCGAGTTATTTAAATTTTTGTCTATCTGTTTGAGCTGATCTTCGGATTGGCTGAACCGATTGTGAGGAAACTTTACAAACAGCTAGAGAACAATCCCGGGAGGTGTCTAGACTATATTTTATCCAAAAAACTCATAACTTTTTTTTTTAATAAATTATTTTAAACTTAGGTTCAAATATATATAAACAATGATATGTTATTGCAGTTTTTGAAAATTTACTCGTATTTTCGATAAGGCTTCTATTTTTATTTGAAATTATTCCAAATTGAATGTTATTGATGGCCAACAACTATGCTTACGCACGCTTCTCTGTGTGCGATTAAATTTGCAACGTTTTTGCCGACCGATTGACCCTTATGAATGTGTGCGTGCGTAGTAAAACAGTAGGCGTTAGATATTTATAAATGACAATCAGTTAAAATAATGCATTACCAGGCATTTTGAATTAAAAAGATAAAAAGGGACAGAATGTTTGACATTTTTTTAAATTAATTTTTTTTCACCATTCGCCTATATTACTTATTCTCAATCTTCTCTGCAAATTTGGGCGGTAATTGCAAAATAACCCTGTATATTATCTTCCTTTTCAGATTGATTTGTGGCGATGTTAATGGAAAATTCAATGCCCTATTTTCACGTGTTGAGTCAGTTGTGAAGAAATCTGGACCATTTGACGTTCTTCTATGCGTTGGAAATTTTTTCAGTGATGATAATTCTCAACTAGATGCCTATAAAATGGGAACAAGAAAAGGTGTCATTTTGTTATTGTTGTGTATATAAGAAAAACTATGTAGTGACAGCGTAGGAGAAATGACAACCCCATTTCATCCAAAGGTTTCATAAAAGACAATCTATAGAAGAGGGAAGGGTATGTCCAGCAATAGAATTGGAATGGCTGTAATAAAATCAAATTATGCTTTTGCAGTATTTTTATTTTATAAAAAATACTAGTAATGCTATTAATAAACATTACTAATGTTCCCTTTAGTCATATCTGGTAAGCTTAAAATGCTTGTGTTAGACGTGGTTCACGACAGTAGTCGAATGACGGATTGAAACCTACAACCTTTCGAGTTCACAGTCCGCACCCTGCCATTAAGCTACTGACGCTTATTGGTACCAACTTAGACTGCTTTCTGTAATAGATTACAGAAGGCAACTAACGGATAAATAGGAATTACTGTATGTATGTAAGAAATACTGTATTAAAGAGGGATAATATTAATCTATTAATGTTTTAGTTCCAGTGACTACTTATGTTTTTGGACCTAGTGACAGCAATCATGTCAAATACTATTGTGAGGAAGGAGCTGAAATTGTGCCAAATGTTATTTACATGGGTATTGTATACATTGTTTTCAAATAATTTATATTAGATCCATTATTATATGTGATTTAATAAAAAAAAAACCTAATGTTGCAGGCAAAAGAGGTATATTTACAACCAGCTCTGATGTGAAAATCGCTTATCTCACTGGCTTGTCAAGGCGAGAGCTTGGTAAAGACATCCCTATGTGTACATTTGAGCCCAGCGATTGCAGTGCTGTTAGGGACGCATGTTTTAGAGGACAGAGTGAGTACAGAGGTGTTGATGTTCTTATTACTACATTATGGCCTGCTGGGATAGAGCAAGATGAATGTCAAAAGGTAACATAAATATAAGATACTGTTCTTATTAAACATTATACTCATCCAAGCATTGGTTCAAATCAAAATTCAAAAATTCTAATGCTTATTCCCAAGTCAATGATTTTTCTATGTATTTACTTAAATATTATGTACTAGCTGTTTCCTGCGACTTCGCCCGCGTGTAGTTTTGGGTTTTAATTGTATTGCTCAGAATCCTAATTCTTTTTCTCAAATATTAGTAGCCTTAGTTACTCCTTAGATCATCAGCTATCTGCCAGTGAAAGTCCCGTCCAAATCGGTCAAGCCGTTTCGGAGATTAGCCGGAACAAACAGACAGACAGACAGACAGACCGACAGTCAGATTTAAAAAATTATTTGTTGTACAATAATTATCATACCATCCAATGGATATTATAGTCTTAAATATATAGTTACTTGGTCTTTTATTCAACTTCTATACTTATCTTTTAGCTATGTTCTAATAATCTCAACTGAAGCCCAAAAATCTCAGTTTGTAAATGAACTGTGAAATTTATTTATAAGTCGAACTCACCCCAGCTTCGTCTAAGTAGGATCTATTAACGTGACGTTATTGAGATTTAATATAATCATCTAAGAACATTTATATTATCAAATTTTCGTGTTCTAAAAAAATATATTTCCAAGGTTTTTTTAAAATTAAATATGGCTTAGATCACTCCTGGCATTGCCCTCTATCTGTTTATCAAGTTTCATTTCAACCGGTGCCATTCTGAAGATTAACCCAGACAGACTGACAGGCACAATTTTTTAAAAAAATAGTTAATTGTCTTAACAGCATGAAAATAACCCCCTCATCATTACAGCTTTTCATAAGTCCACTGCTGAACATAGGCTTCCCTCAAGGAATGCCACAAAGCACAGTCCTGAACCACCTGCATCCATCGACTTCCTGCATGTCTTACCAGGTGGTCACTCCATCTCGTGGGGGGTCGCCCTACACTTCGCCTACCAGTACGAGGCTGCCACTCAAGAACTTTTCTTCCCCATCGGTTGTCGGTTCTTCGAGCTATATGGCCGGCCCACTGCCACTTCAGCTTACTAATTCGTTGGGCTATGTCGGTTACTCTGGTTCTACTGATGATATCCTCATTTCTAAGTTTATCACGCAGAGAAACCCCAAACATAGCCCTCTCCATAGCTCGCTGAGCGACCTTGAGCTTCCTCATACGGCCAGCAGTGAAGGAACACGTCTCAGATCCGTAAGTCATCACTGGCAACACGCACTGGTTGTACAATTTCGTTTTAAGGTTTTGAGGTATGTCTGACGAGAAGATGTCGTAGTTTCCCGAACGCTGCCCAGCCGAGTTGAATCCGTCGATTGACCTCTCGGTCGAAGTTGGACTGACCTAGTCGGACTATTTGTCCCAGGTAAACATACTCGTCAAGAACTTCGAGCTTAGTGCTCCCAACAACTACGGGCATAGGTGTGATATGGACATTAAACATGATCTTTGTTTTGTCCATGTTCATCCTAAGAGCTATTCGTTGGGAGACACTATTGAGGTCATTGAGCATGGTGCTTAAGTCCTCCAGCTATTCTGCCATAAGGACTATATCGTCGGTAAATCGAAGGTGTGTGATGTACTCGCCATTGATGTTAATACCGTATCCTTTCCAGTCCAGAAGCTTGCAAAACGTCTTCCAATGCAGCGGTGAAGAGTTTCGGGGATATAACATCACCCTGTTCTACACCTCTCTGCAATTGGATAGGTTTCGTACTCTGGTTCTGTACTCGGATAGCCATCGTTGCCCTACTGTACAAGCACTTCAGCACTTCGATATCTATTTATTTATTTATGCTTTATTTGCACACCAAGTACAAAAAGGCGGACTTAATGCAACAGGGCATTCTCTACCAGTCTACCTCCAGGCTAAGCAGAGAAAATATTGTGGGTGCAAAGTGCAAACAGCTAAGTAAATAACATCTATTTTAATACGTGTCCCTTGTTATTCTATTGTATATGTATATATATATATATATATATATATATATATATATACAACGTGTCCCAAAATTCAACGATAAGCCAACACCGGAGGATAGACCTGCCCCGGACTAATCGGGTAAAAAAAGAAAAAAATATATATCCCAATTATATTTTAAGTTATATAAAAAAAATGAAATTCTTCAGAAATTGAGACCGTTTATGATATTTTTCACTACCATGACCACAATTTTTTAAATATTTTTTTCTTTTTTTTTTATAGGCAACCTGAATAGTACTGCTATCTACCACAATTCTTAAAAACTCCAGAATAACTCTTGTTTTATCACGAAAATTAATGAAACTTATTTTATTCCCTAAATTTTTTGAAGACTTTTACTTTTAACCAAATTTAACTTATCGTGGTGTAAAAAAAAAGTATGAACACTAGTATGGCAAGTTTTTTTAAAAATTGACGCAACTAACCAATATTCCAAAATGGTATAATACTCTAGGAAAACAAGTTATAAAAAAATATGGGCCTATTATTTCTTAACAGGGGCCAAATGACGGTCGGGTGTAATAAAAGTATTATTTCTTGAAAAATGTTTAATATTTCAAAACAAATGGTACAAACAGTTTCACGTGTAATTTATTAAGTTATTAACATTATAGCAAATGTTCGAACTGTTTGCCACCAGCATTAATACATGCACGACATCGCCTTAAAAATGATCGTTTTATTTGTCTTGCATATCTTCTGCTATTAATGTAATCAGCAGCCTGAGTGATATTTCGACGAAGCTCGTCCAATGTCACAATGGGTTTTGAGTAGACCCTGTTTTTAAGACAACCCCAATAGAAGAAGTCCAGGGGGTTCAAATCGGGTGAACGGGGTGGCCATAAGATAGGACCAAGTCGCCCGATCCAACGCCCTGGATACTCTTGATTTAAATATTCTCGCACAGGACGGGCATAATGTGCTGGGCAACCATCATTTTGGAACCACATGTTTTGAAGATCACTTAAGGGCACGTCGTTTAACAATTCTTGCAAGTCATTTTGTAAAAAGTTTAAATAACTATTGCCATCTAAGTTTCCTTGTAACTCAAAGGGTCCAATTACTTTTCCATTTAATATGCCGGTCCATAGGTTAACCTTGAATTGATATTGGGATTTGTCTTGTCTCATCAAGTGTGGATTTTCATTACTCCAACTATGTAGATTGTGAAGATTTAAATACCCATCTTTCTTGCACGTTGTTTCATCCGACCCTAGAATTTTGTCTAGGAAGTGGGGATCTTCACTGTGCCTTTGCAGCATTACACGGCAAAATGTGACCCGTAGCGGATAGTCCCGCGGTAATAACGTCTGCACACGCCTGTAGTGATATGGGTGAAGCTTGTGACGTTTTAATATTCGATGTGCAGAACTTTTCGGGATTCCTGTAGCTTCTTCTATGGCACGTACCGAAGTAGTCGAGTCATTTTCTATCTCCTTGAGAACTTCTTCATCACGATCCAATCTAGGTCTTCCAGCGCTGCTCCTATTGGATGGCATACGACCCTCCGAAAACGCTTGATGCACATTAATAAACACTCGATAATCAGGATATCTTTGAGCATTTGGGTATCTTTCTGGATACAGTCTGCTAGCAGCGTTAGCATTACATCGGCATTCTCCATAGATTAAATGCATATTAGCGTATTCCTGTGGTGTGTACGGTTGCGGCATGTTAAACGCCAAACAGTCCAAAATGCGCCAGAACTCTAAATCACAAAACACACAATCGTAGTCCAAGATAATGCCAGGTCAGTTCAGTTTGCAGATCACTTCCAGTCCAAATAATGCCAGGTCAGTTAAGTTTGCAGGTCGATTCCAGTCCAAAAAGCCAAGCCAAAAGTCGATAGTATGTACGAGGGCCACGTAAGTTGAATTGGGTACGGTGCGTAGTAAACAAAGGAGCAGAGCGTACTGAACCGACTTGCTGAGAATAATAACAGCTTCTCTACCTGCCCTGTTGTTGTCTCTTTTTAACGTAAATATCTCTATCTATCTATCTCTCTCTAACATCTAAGGTATTAATGCCCCATTCGAATTCCTAGAAATTGTAACAGGAACCCATTTTGGGCATGTAGTAAAAGTGATTACTGACAATTACAATTTAAGGAATTTGGCCCCTGTTAAGAAATAATAGGCCCATATTTTTTTATAACTTGTTTTCCTAGAGTATTATACTATTTTGGAATATTGGTTAGTTGCGTCAATTTTTAAAAAAACTTGCCATACTAGTGTTCATACTTTTTTTTTACACCACGATAAGTTAAATTTGGTTAAAAGTAAAAGTCTTCAAAAAATTTAGGGAATAAAATAAGTTTCATTAATTTTCGTGATAAAACAAGAGTTATTCTGGAGTTTTTAAGAATTGTGGTAGATAGCAGTACTATTCAGGTTGCCTATAAAAAAAAAAGAAAAAAATATTTAAAAAATTGTGGTCATGGTAGTGAAAAATATCATAAACGGTCTCAATTTCTGAAGAATTTCATTTTTTTTATATAACTTAAAATATAATTGGGATATATTTTTTTTTCTTTTTTTACCCGATTAGTCCGGGGCAGGTCTATCCTCCGGTGTTGGCTTATCGTTGAATTTTGGGACACGTTGTATATATATATATATATATATATATATACATAATTAAATATAGCAGTTTCTGATTCAAACTCCAATAACAAATGTAAAAATGAAATGGAAAACCACAAACTACTCCTGCAACGTTACATAGTAATTCCAGAGCAAGCGTTTGAACGATGCCTTGCTCGTGGCTGCGCGTACACTGCCCGGTAACTCGTTCCATAATCTTACCGCATGAGAAGTAAAAGATTTGTGTAAAAAGCTAGTGTGACAGAGGGGAACATGGAGGTTAGATTTTTCCGTAGAACGGAGACAACGATTATGGGTATCACTGATACTGAAATTTGCATTGCAATTCCCAATTTCGACGGAATCAAAGGGTGTCTCATAGCCCACATACGCCAGACAAATTGTACA